TTTTAAATAGAAATTTCACATTGCAATGTAAAGGTCCGCATGAACAGTCATAAATTCTAGATACAGAAGACATCAAAAACAGATGTCTCCACGTTTATGGGAAATCGTTCCCTGCAGATGCTCATTTTGGGAAATATTATCAGTAAAGGCAATTGTTAAAGTTAAACTATAGTCTAAATATAAGAGCCATGTACATTCTTACTTGGATCTTGGTGATGTTTGTGTATTTCTTCCAGATCTGTGCAGTAATCCAGTGTGAGACTTGGAGCTTCCTGTAATAAGCATAGTGATGTCACTGCTACTATTATATGGTCATATCTGAGCTTGCAAAGGTATTTGTTGCACACAAAGCAGATTTTTATTATTTGTGGCTATTGGGGAATATATTTAAAGACCGTTTTTATGTCTGGAGTTCAGCTGCAGTTACAATCTAAAGTTCACCATATATGTTCAAATTTGTATCAACAATCTGTTAGAGCTATTCCAACAACTACTGTGTTTCCCCGAAAGTAAGACCTACCCCGAAAATAAGACCTAGTGACACACGGGTCTGCTTCATTCATTACAAACTGGATGGACTATGTAGGAAAGAACTAATAGTATTAGGTTTAGGTAAATCTAAAGGAGATTGTACAATAGGAATATAATGTGTATGCAGGGCCGGATTTCCCACAAGGCCAACCAAGGTCCGGCCTCGTGGCAGCAGGGAGTAGAGGGGCAGTAGGGGTGTGGAATTCCTATCTCCCGACACCGAAGACATGCAGTTCTGGGCGCCGGGTGGGTAGTTGTTTTCTACATTTAGCCCTGCTTTAGGCAAGCAGAGCTAAATGTACTGCAGGGAGGCAGAACCATGTGATATGGGCCACCAATCCTACTGGGGAATCCTCAAAAAATCCCGGCTAAATAAATTGAACTTTATAAAAGTAAAGCCTCCGAGGAGAAAAGCTCCCCTTGCAGTGGGTCTACCTTTGCACTGCAAGGGTTAACTGTGTATGTCTAAGGGTATTGTGTAAAGCACTTTTTCTTACCTGATCCCCGCTCCTGCTGGCTCCAAGACTGGCGCCTGCAGCCTCATCCATCTCTACCCTGGAGGTTGCAGGCCAACTGACGTCATCACGTCTAATGAAGGGCTCATAGTCCTGAATTATACATAAGGATGCCGAGGGACAGTCCACAAGCTAGAGAGGAGGAGAGAGAGGTGAGTGATGATTGCCGGGAGGAGCGGGGATCAGGTAAAAGTCCTTCGCACAGCTCCTCTAGACATAAATGAGCAGTTAAGGTATTTTTTTCCCGTTCCCTTCCCTGAAGATGGACTTTAAGGTAAATTGAGTGAAATGTTCAACTGTAGGACAGGTAGAGATTTTTTGAGGATTTTTTTTGTGGGAGTTGGGGGGTAGAATTGGCTATTCACCAATTGCCCACGTCGCTGATCACTGAATGTATGCCCAGAGAAGCTAATTAAAGTATTAGTTCACTCTAAACTAAATTCTTGATCATAAGCCTCTGTGAATCCCATTTTTGATGCTTTCTACCTTGCAAGAGCCTGGTTTCAACCCTTCGCCTCCAGCAAGACTTCACATGTACAGCAGGGATGATATGCCAGAGGTCACCCTGACATATCATGGCTAGTGCTGGCATCTAAAGCTGACTGATGAGCTGTCGCTGTAACTGTTCTATTTGGAGGATTGTACATCCCGTCCGGGAAGCACAGGTGTACTTCTCCCTCCCCTTATTCCAAGCTTTCCACAGCCTGGAGACGGAATAAGTAGATGCAAAAACATATGCAGATTAAAAGACGTTTGCATGCTCTGCTTATAAAATGTTGCTATAATTGCAGCAGTGCTCACATTTGCATAGCTCAGAGCAGCAATTCTTAACTGTAACCATCGTACATGCCATCTTTTTGAGTCACAAATGAGGGACTTACACAATGAGGGGCAATGAGCACTACCTGAAGAGACAGAAATTATGAAGGAAATCTCTCCCCAAGAACATATTTATTTTGACAGGCATTTCCCCCTACATAGATACTATAGGGGGTACAGGGGTGCTCTTGGCCCATGGGATTTAGAGGTCCAGGCATTACTGCTCCTGTCTCTTTGTTCACCAGCTGAGTGCTCACATCATAGTCCTCTTCTTCATATCACTCTTTTCTATTCTAGTAGATGTGGTAAGCTTATTAAAAATAGAAGTAACCAACGAGTCTCTAGAATACTTCATTAAGCCTGGTGGACTTAACACCTAAGCAGGACCCTATCCCCCCCTCCTTTCTAGGATCTGCAGGACCTTATCCCCCCTGCCTTTCTAGGATCTTCTCCAAGTCCATTACGGGGAACAGGGAATCGGGTGGTGGGTAAGCCCCCCAGGCAGAGGTGGGAAATCACACTTAACCCCCTACCTTCCCGTTTCGACCTTGTCCTGCCCCCTCCCATTTAGTGTCCCCCTCTTTACCCTTGCCCTCTTCTCTGTTTTGACCCCCTCCCCATCTATCCACGTACTCTCACACCCACTCTAGAGATCCTATGAGTCTCGACTCAACTTGTCCACTTGGACGCCAACGTCACAGATAGGCAGCGGAAGAGAACCCAACTATTCCTCTGCCCCTTACCCTCTTACTTGTTGCCCCAGGTTTTGTGCCTGTTAGGGTTTACAGCTAAATGCACAGTACCGTACCATGCATGTAGCACTTAGTGCATGGGTACCATGCACTAAGTGCACTGCCTTATCATTCATTTAAATAGAACACCAACACACCTCCCAGTGGCCATGCGCTGAAGTGCACCTCATCATACCATGATGCCTGACGTAGCGATGAAAAAATAAAGCGGATACACTATACTTTCAATTGAATGCACATTTCTTCAGTACTGCATGGTGCACAGCAGTGCATGACCACCAGGAGGAGTGTTGGGCCATTCACACTGCATGGTACTGAATGTTTTCCTGTAATATCACATTGTTGCCACTAGATGGTGCTAAAGGAATATAGGAAGTAAGTATTTTATGTGCTCATCACCACCATCTAGTGGCCATATAGCACCATTACATGAAAAAAACAACTTGCAACTAAAGGTTCGAATTGGCATACACCCACACAGCGCGAACGTCCAAAGGCATTTGCAAAGAGTTTATAAATAGATTCAAGAATACAAATGCCTCTTTAGACAATATTTGCATATCCTGAAGATCAGCTTTAAAGCCTATTTAATAAATACTGTTTCTAGCAAGTTGGGGTCCCCAGAATCCAATTGTAGAACCTAATTTGGGGTCTTAGATGGGGCTTTCATAGGAAGCTAAGGTTTATGCTTTCATGATACAGAAAATGCGGCAAGCCATAGCAACTCAGAGCGCAGTCACCTGTAGTCAGATCAGTGAAAGGTGAGTTTGTATTGGTGGCTGTGATTTGCTGATCTTTGCACATTGTTCGCCGTTCTTCTGCTGGTATCACGTGTAGAGGGAGCCGGGCTGTGAAAAATAGGCGCCTGATATAGCTGAATCCTCATTTATCTACCAGGCTGCAGATGTGTTTCATGGAAAAGGCAGCTTAATCAACATATCTAATCCCATTCAAGGTTAAACTTCGCCCACACTGCTTATTATTATGTTACAGTTTTTCTGAAGTTCGCTTATAATTCAGCACAGTCCAAGACGATCATTTCCCATAATTACAAAACTCTTTATCATTTTAGCTGTGCGGGAACTTTATAACCGCAATACATTGTTTTATGATATGATTAGGAATCCTGTACTGGGGGGTTACATAAGCTGCCGCTGCTGACCCCTCCATCTGAAAATGCTAGCTGTCATGCTGATCCTTTGTCATGCTGATCTGTTCTGGCTCTGGTGGAGCACTGGGGGTCCCTTGTTTGAATCCCAGCCAGGTCACTATCTGCATGGAGTTTGCATGTTCTCCGTGTGTTTGTGTGCGTTTCCTCCGGGTACTCCGCTTTTCCTCCCACACTCCAAAGGCATGCTGGAAGGTTAATGGGCTCCGGTTTATATTGGCCCTTGTATGTATGTATGTATGTATGTATGTATGTATGTATGTATGTATGAATGTGAGATAGGGACCTTAGATTGTAAGCTCCTTGAGGGCGGGGACTGATGTTCACTATGTAAAGCACTGTGTAAATTGTTGGCACTATATAAATACCTGAAATAAAGAAATGAGTATGCAGATTACTTATTTTCCATACTAAGTTCCATATTCATTTTTTTTCATTGCTTAGTAACCCAAAGTTTTATAGCAAATATATATATAATGTATGCATTTGTATTTCTGTCCATCTGGTTCTGACATTTACCCAGCTTTGCTGCACAGCATAGCCTTGTCTGCACTAAAATCCCGCACAGCATTGTCAGCTCTCTCTGTCCTCCTTCACACGCATACCCCAGTGAAACATTGTTGCTGCTTTGTTTCCAAGAGCCTGCCCATACAATGAGGGGAATTTATCAAAGCCAGAGCAGACAAAATCTGGAGCAGCTGTGCATGGCAACCAATCAGCATCCACCTTTCATTTTCAAATCTTAACTGAACAAACTAAAGAGAGAAGCTGATTGGTTGCCACCGGCAACTGCTCCTAATTCTTCTGCTCCAGTTTTGATAAATTCCACCCACTGTGTATAGGGAAGAAGCTCTTTGGAGATGTAGTTCTGGGAGTGTGTTTTACATCAATTACTGAACCCCAAGCAGCTGCCTCTGCAAGAGTTTTACAAGCTTGGTGATGATGTCACAGTGAACAATAAAAGTTGTTTCTCATTATAGGAACACGGTATAAAAATAATGCTGAGGTATGATCTAGAGGGGAAGTAAATTTGGGTAATGCCTAGACTTACACTTTAAGACCTTTTAGCAGTTGCTCAGCGAATATGCACATTAGTCACACAGAGGTTTTCATATTTGCCTGTAGTTTTCATGTAGTTTTAATCATTTTATTATTGATTTTTATGATTCTAGCTCTTGTCTGTGATCATTAATGGAATGTTTTCTTTATTTGCAGATACTGCTTTGTGTTTGCTTTGGGATACCTCACCTTGTGCCAAATAGCAAGAGTTTATATTTTTGATTACGGGCAGTATTCTGCAGATTTTTCTGGGTAAGTACAGCACAGATTTGTTGGCCAGATTTCTCCAGCGTTAGCTCTAATATAGTAGTAATTGTCTAGATCTTAGTGCAAGTAGAGACGAGAGCTGTCACTCAAAGGGAATGTATGAGGCAAGATCACAGTGCTGAACATCACACTAAAAGAATGCAGAAACGGCTTTTTATTCTTTAAAACCCAATTGATGTTTTAGACCCTTTTATCTCATTATAGTCTAGCGATGCCCAGATACCAGTGCAGATACTTGGCATTTTCATGGGAACTACCAGGGTTGCAGCGGTTGCAGGTGGGACCTGGCTCTGGCGCTCCACCACTGTCCTGAAGTCATTAGTCTGTATTGTTTTAGAAAAACTGTCACATGACAATAAACAAAAATGTATCAGTACTTGTATCTTGGGCAGTATCAGTACTTGTATCTGTGTGTACTTGGGCGAGTATCAGTACTTGTACTTGCAAAAATGGTATCGGTGCATCCCTTAAAATTTTTAAAATAAAAAATATACATTTAAACAGAGATGTACAAATCCCAGGAGCTCTGTGTGCTCCTTACAAATGACAGCTGCCTCCTCACTTTTGAATTTTTCCCTAGTGTAGTCTTGGAGCTGGAAAAGTATCTGTACTTGTAGCCAGTACGGTACTTGGTATCTGAACATCTCTAGTATAGTCCCTTTTCTCCGCTTCTATTCTATGCGACTTGGAAACGCTTTAAAATATCTTTTTATCGAAGTCAAAATGCTGCTTCTTGCACTAACACTGCAGTGCTCTCTGCTAGCAGAGCTGAGTAACAGTCACACCCCTCGTTACAAGTGTCCTCACACAGACAGTATTGTAGAGAAGGGGAGGGGCTGTGTGAATTACAAAGACCAGTGGGCCAACTTTGTGCCTATACTTCACATGTGTACACACCCCCAAACAACTGCTGAAACAGAAAAGTGACTGACTGTAGGGCTTGGAAGTTGTAAGTATCTATCTGAAAGTATGTTTGTCAGCTGTGCTGACTTTTGTGATAATAGAGGATAGTGATATGACCCTTGGTACTTGCTATTTGCCCTCTTTCCTGTAAATAACCACCTATCTGAAAGTGAAAGAAATTACCAAATTTTGGGTTGTCACCAGAAAAGGCAAAGATGGGAAATCTTTCAATGGGAACACTAGTTCTGGTGACCCTACTGACCACTAGGCACTGTTGTGGCTACCAAACAGGAAGTGAAGAGAAATCTCCCCAGTGGGGACACAGATGACAAAAAAGGGGTTATAACTAGGGCCGTCCCTACAATGAGGTAGCTGAGGCTGTTGCCTCAGGCGGCATCTCTTTGGGTCACGTGGGGGGTGGCATGGCCGCTCTGCTGCACAATGTTTACAGTGTACCTGCTGCCCAATTTCCAACTAGAGCGTCTCGGGTTGCTAAGAGCCGGGTGTGGAAATGTGTAAGGGCCGTACACATCTTCCCATTCAGCTTTTAGCATACTTGAGGCGCTCTAGCCGGTGTCCTGTCCAGCTCCTGGCAACCAGTGAGCAAATACTGGGGCAAATAGTAGGGTTTGTTTTTTTTTTTTAGTTATGGCTTTGAATGAATACTGCAAGTTCCTCTCAGTAGAAGGTTGGTGGTTTTCAGTGCATTTTATTGAAATGCATATTGTCTTGCTGGTAAAATATACATACGGTGTACAGCTCCACGACCAGTCTGTAGATATTGTTTTATTATTCAGCAAATTGGATTCTGTACTCTTCACAGAGGCCTTGATGACTACGCCCCCTACCACACACAATCCCACAATGAAATGTGGGTGCCGCTGTTGTTGACTGCTGGGATGCCCTCATTTTGGGAGTGTTCGGGGGATGTAGAGTTCAACAAGTCTGAGTGTGGCCTGGATGAGAGGCTATGCAAGTACACTGGGGAAGACTTGGTGATCAGTAAAAATAAATGCAGCCATATTGTTTTGCCCTTCTGCCAGGATATGATGTTAGCTATGCAACACATGGCTAACATCACAAAGTGTGTGAGAGATTCTCTTAAAAGAGAACTATGGCTAGGGTTGCCACCTGTCCAGGATTCACCCGGACAGTCCAGGTTTTGAATGCTGTGTCCGGGTTTCATGGCAGCAGAAACCCGGACACTAGATATCAGGCAGACAGGGGCAACCAAAATTAAGATAGCGGCTACTGGCCCCCCACTGGAAATAGTCTCAGCTGTGATATTTACATATGAATAAGCCGTGACTCATTCTCCAAGAAAAATTTGCGTGAGTCGCAAGAGTGTTCGGGTTACGCTGAAAGAAAAGGTGGCAACCCTAACTATGGCCCAACCTATTTTGGCCATAGTTCTCTTTAGGGTCCCAGGATGATATTTATTATGTCGTCCTGTGACTCAAAACTCAGCATATAGCGGGCTGACAGCGCAGAGCCGTGCTGCGGCCTGGAAAGATCCTGACAATATTGTCAGGATCCACTCCACTGCCTGATTGACAGCTGGCTCTGCCTCTCTAGAGCCAGCTATCCCCCGCCCCCTCCCCCGTCCGTCCCACCAGTCAGCGCTGGAGAAACAAAGAGGGGTGGGGGGAATCCCTGCAGGGAAATGAGAGGTCAGCAGTTTGTGATCGCTCAGTTCTCAATCAATAAAGCCGATGCGTGTCAGCTGCAGTGTCACACATCGGCTCTGATTATGGGAATGAGTGTATTGCTCCCCATATTTTACGCTATAGCTGAAAGCTGCATGGAGGATAAACTCTACTTTGCATCTGGATGGTAATTCAATATGGCTGCATAGGGAATTTTGTATAACACTTTAAAGTACAACTAAAGGCTGTTTGCTTACAACCAAATATTGTCAGTGACTCCTCTCAAAATGATAATAAACTTGTATTTTTTAATGAAAAGCATTATAATTAGCCCGTCGTCTTTCTGCACGCTTCCACTCCCACATTGCGCTGGTTGTAGAGAGAGAGAGAGGGTTTATGCAGTGCTTGCCATGTTTCAGCTACTGCCTAAATGCCATTGTTCACTCTCTGCATGCTGCTTACCCCTGCCGATGTCTTCATCAGGGAGGGCAAGACATCACCAGCCGCTAGGTGCTGGGGTAGGCAACCTTTGCACTTCAGTTGTTGTTCAACTACAAGTCCCATGATGCATTGCAAGACTCTGACAGCCACAGGTATGACTCTCAGAGGCAGAGGCATGATGGTATTTGTAGTGCTGAGGTTGCCTACCCCTGAGCTAGGGGCTTGCTATCAGCAGTGACTATGCTTATACCCCCCTTGGTGTCACTGCGCTGTACTGTAGTCCAACCAGCCACAGTGTAAACAAGGGTGACCACGCTACCTCAATTTGGACAGCGGTGGTACAATGTTGTCAACCTGATTAAGACAGTGGAGGAGGACCACTGCGTGTCACGCATCGGCTTTATTGATCGAGAACTGAGCGATCACATACCGCTGACCTCTCATTTCCTGATCTTCTTCCCTGCAGGGATTCCCCCCTCCACTCTTCGTTCCTCCAGTGCTGACTGGTGGGACAGACAGGGGAGGGGGCAGGCAAAGCTGGCTCTGCCTCTAGAGAGGCATCCTGCCAGTGAGGCTGGCAGGATGAACAGGTAAATTCCGCACCTTAGGCTGGCGATACAGATGCTATTTTATAAAGCTAGGTGAATGAACTTTTAAGGCTGCATTGCATTTTTGATATAGATTTGGCCACAATTCTACTTTAACCCAGAAATAAATATTTGATTTCAGCTAGTTGGTACATTTCTGAGTGTCAGCATGATGGGGATGAATACCTGTTGTGAAAGTGAACATTCTGGCATCCAAAATCAATACTGGGCAGACTCAAGGAAGAACTTAAAGGGGTTCTAAACCCTCCGTTTTTTTGCCTATATCTACCGCTAGCAAGCAGTAGATATAGGCAAGAAGTTTAAAAAGAAAAAAAAAAAACGCTTCAACTAGTTTTAAACTTACCTCGTTATCGCTGCTCGCTCCCGCGCTGAGAATCAGGAAGTGATCGTACGGCCGCAAAATAAGAAAGTTATACTCACCCGAACCTCGGAGCCGGCCAGCTGTCACAACGCTCCCTCCAGCCTGTCTCCTCCTATGCCGCTGTGATAATATGTCCCTTGGCGTCACACAGTGTATTGAACATGATGACTTGAGGATCCTTAGAGCGGAGGAAGAGCATGGCTGGAAGGATTAGTCTAAGGACAAGTCAACTCCGGGGATCAGGTGAGTATAACTTTTTTTATTTTTGCACCTAGACCAAAACGAGCACTTAAGCCCGTGACACATTGCGCGCAAAGCCGTGCAGAGTGAAGCAAAGCTGTGAGCTGAGTGCAGGCAGATGATTGACTGCACCTTCAGCCAATCGGCTCGTGCGTAACAACCAGCCAGACGTTGCATGCTGATGCGCGGGCTTATACGCGCGAGCCGATTGGCGGAAGATTACATTTTTCATCTCGGCACGCTCAGCTATGCCCGCTCTCGCAAGCTGACTTAAAGGCAGTGTGTCACAGCCTTTAAGCTTTGCAGTGCGGGGGGTGGACCCGCTGCCAGGGTTAATAAAAATGGCCCCCGGAGTTCTTTTTTAACTTTTTAAAATATTAAATATTTAAGTTGTGACCAAAATCTTTATACATTTCCTGTTTTTATTGCTGAACTTCCCCTATCCCTATCCCTGCCAGTGAAGTGTTATCTCTCCCTGTATGGAACGCGTCCCTCATGGTGTACAATGTCACTGCTAGTCACCCCTAAACCATGCTGAGCAATGCATGGGGGAAAGATAACAGAGGACGACACTGGAGTCTTTCCCATCTAGTCCCAGAGAACGGAGGCACACAGCCAAATTCTCTGAAGTCTTGCTAAGCAGAATCAGATGACTCTGAAAAAGAGATACTTGCTAAGTGCTAACGGCTTAAAGGCATAGTCCAATTTTTACAAAGAATGTATAAATGCGTCCACATTGCAAAAAGAACAAATGCGCATTTATGATTTTTTTTTTGCATTGGAGGCTGCAAAGTGCAGGCTCCTGCAGACCAGTGGTTCTCAACCTGTATAACCTCAGGACCTATATCTGTCCTTGGCCCATTAAGTCACGACCCAAACCGCACCGCACTGGAACGCACGGCATTGCGGTACTGCAGCTTCCAGTGCAAGCAATCAAGCTGTGGGCAGGAGGTCTGTTCAGGGTGCTATTCAAATGACTCTCAAAGCATTGCACCTCCTGCACCAGAACAAACAGTAGGTGCGATTGTGTGGTAGTTTGTGATTAAAACACTGACAGACACACACAACCACAGACACAAGCTTGTGTCACAAGGGAGCTTGGAGTGGTGAATACTTTACAACACACATAGGGACCATGGGGAACAAAAGTAGCCCCCCTCCAGCAGGAAGGACAGTGTCAGCACCAATTCAGAGATGATTTGAGGATCTCCAGCCGAGTGATACACAAATAAGATACATTTTTGTTAATAGTTAAAGTGACATTAAGCCCTCAGATTTTTTTAACATAAACCAATACTGTAATGTGTGCCTTACTGTAATCCATGGTTGTTTCCCTTCTCTTTGCTGCTCTTCCTTTTAAATTTGTATCTCTTCTCATGCTTGGGGAGAACTTCCCTTTGCAGCTGAGTGCCTCTTCCTGTAGTGCTGGCTCAGGTTGTGAACCTTCACATAGACACCATGTATCCCTTTCAGAGACAAGGCAGTCTGCTGCAAAACAGAAGTTCTGCCCAGCATGAGAAGAGATACAGATTTAAAAGGAAGAGCAGCAAAGAGAAAGGAAACAACCATGGATTACAGTAAGGCAGACATTACAGTATTGGTTTATGTTAAAAAATCTGAGGGTTTAATGTCACATTAAGGTACTTCAATGCATTTTTAAGATTTAAAGGAGAACTACTAGGTGAGTGATTTCCACTCATCTTCATAGTTAGAGCCGACCTGTGACAAAGAAGCTGTCACAGGTCGGCTCTATCGATCGGTAAGTGAGCAGAAGCATGCATTGATCCACTCACTTCCCGATCATCTTCCTGTAGTGAGCGGTGACTCCCAGTCACTGCTCCCCGCAGGGATTTCCGCTCCCCTCTCTTCGATCCTCCAGCTTTGATTGGAGAAATGGACGGAGGAGGGGGGTGGCCACCGCTGGCTCTGCCTCTAGATAGCACAGGTACTACAGGAACGTGAACATTTTTATTAGCATGAAGCCTTCTTTAGGCCTAGCAAATATTTAATCTAAATGCAATAGTAAGGTACCGTGTTATAGTGTTGCTGGAACAATTGGTGAAACTGAAACTATTGCCCTTGTAAAAGAAAGATATGTGTGACTAAACTGTTTTATTTCCTTTAAATTCAGGCCAATGATGATTATTACACAGAAAATAACAAGCTTGGCTTTTGAAATAAGAGATGGTAAGCACTTTTTGTTTTTATGTTACTCTAGTGATAAGAGTTCTCTCCTGTTTGAAGTATGCGTGTCCAAAGGCAGCAGCTCCATGCTATGTAAATCATATCTGCTGCTTCAATGAACCACATCATCATGTTACATGGAACCCCAGAAGACAGTTCTGTGCTATGCCGCTTCTTTCAAAAAGTGCTGGCATTTCATTCTGAGAAAATTCCTATTATTTAAACTCATTTTAGGAAAGTTTATACTTTATTATAAGTTTAGATGATTAAAATATAATGAAAAGTTTATAAATGCTCCCCTTTGTCCAATTAAAGAACCAGTCTTGGTGGTATTAGCCGGTGCATGGACTTCTTCACCTTCAGGAGATTATCTCTCACTTTCCCGACAACGATAGCAACTTATTTATTTATTATTGGTATTTATATAGAACATACAATTTATACAGAGCTTTACATACTGTACATGCAAATCAGTCCCTGCTCTGAAGGAGCTTACAGTGGAAGGTCCCTATTCACATACTGTCCATACGTACACTCAGACACATACTAGGGCCAATTCAGACAAGAGCTAATTTACCTAATTCACATACCAGCATGTCTAGTTGGTCCTAAACAGAGAATCTTACCTTTCCCCAATGTAACCAGAAAAAATCCTTTAGGCAGATTTCCACTTTATAGCAGCTGGTAGGTATTGGTGGAGCGTTGGAGTTTATATACTCTATATAGTAAATACATTTTTCTTGATCCTCAACAGTGTCATGACTGTTGTATAAAACTCTTTTACAAGCATGAAGAAAACATTTTACGAGCAGTAACCATTATGATATTATAAGCTGCGTGCACAGTGCAGTCCCCTCTAATGACCTTGTATGCATTTTCCTAAGAATAAATATATTTCCCCCGACTTGGAAATGGCTTTGATGCACAGTAAATAATATCGAGTGTATGTCCTTGAACAAAAGGTGGTTGAATAAAGGTGGTATTTCTAGCACTGCAATTAGTCAGCAGCTTGGCAGAGCAGCACCTGCACTCTGGACTTGCTGTCAGTAAGCCAGAACCAGAGTTGTCTGAGTGGTCTGCGCATGCACACATGTCTGCGGAAAGACGCACAAGCTGGCAAAGCTCTATGAGCAAAACCAGGTGCATGTGCAGACCGTCGTGCCCTTACTCCAGTTCTGGCTTCCTGACACATTTCACAGGAGTATCCAGGAAACACAGTGCAGGTTGAGCATGAACTTCATAGCTGCCATGAAATGGAATGCACATGGATATCTAGTAATTGTGCTCAGCCCCTCTTGTTTGGCTTAGTACAGAAAGGTATGGCTTAGTACAGAAAGGTAAACAGGATTCCACAGTATTCTGTATTGTTATATCCATTGTACAAAATGAAAGCCCAACTTCACTGATTTTTATTTTACAAATATACATATGCTCTCTTAATTATGTTTTTTTTTTAAAAGGTCATGCTATGCCCTGAATAGACAATACGCACCTTTTAAAGTGGCTTTGGCTTTAAAGTGAACCATATGCCCAGACTATGCACATTAAAGTATTTACATATTCCCGAACAAACCGTAAATACGATTTAAAAGAAGCCCTCATTCACTTCTATAGCTATAGTCACTGTGGAGAAATTCAATTTCAAAGCTCACATAGGCACTGAAATGTCAACTCTATTCTATGGACTGCAGAATCTTGGCAGCCTGATAACCCTCTAATGTAAACAAACAGCAGGTGTTCCTAAGCTGTTAGACACCCATTGAAATCTGAGTTTTTGTTGTGATCTTTGAGACTGTTTTACTTTACAGTACAAGCAGCTAGAGAGGTTAACAATGACTTGTTTTAGAGCTCATTTACTGCTTGTTAAAAATGTGTAAATAAAGTTTAAATGTCCATAGGCTGCACTTTAAAGTCAATGAGACCAGCATATAATTCTGACAAACAGGTGCAGCATGAGGGACATATTTCTCCAATATACTGTATATTACATTGGAGAAGTGCAGCATATCTGGGGGCTCTGAAGATAAATATAATTAATCACCCTTTACCTGGTACTTACGAGGTAGACTTACCTTTTGGATATAGAGCATGCCTTTAGAAAAGGTCATTGTGTCCATTTGGTCAATATATTGCTGCAGCTACAGTTTTCCGCTGCATTACAATTGTGTTATTGTATTTGTGGTGGTGACAGGTCCTGTTTACCTCATGATGTCTCATTAATGAGCATCTTCCTGCATCATTCATTGAATACTCTTAGAATTTCTAACTTCCGTTCTTTATTCATCTCCAGCAAACGTAATTAGAAATGTAAATGTGTAGTTATTTTCCTGTCACTTCAAATGCTTACCAGAGTACACTGCTAATTACATACTGGCATGATTAATGAACAACTGCTGCGTAGACTACTCTATATTCTACATAAGGCTTTCAGCTCCCTATGGAGTTACAAAAGGTCATTTACGAATGCATGAAAAAGTGGGAACACCTTTTCGGGATGTGTGTGCATACTTTGTGCAATTTACATTCTATGTTTATTGAATGGGTTTTGGTAGTTTCAGGCTTGCACGTGAGAATGTATCATGATGGGAATTTTGGTTCTGCTTGGAATGGATGTGAGATTATATCATAACGGGGTTCTTGATCCTGCCATGAGTGGATGTGAGATTACATCAAGATGGAGGGGGGTGGGGGGGTGGTTGGTCCTTCTACATTGCGCATTTTACATTCTAACTTAATTAAATGGGTTGTTGGTAGTGCTAAACTTGCATGTCTAACACTATCATAATATATTATGATTTGAGTTTTGGTCCTGCCAGAAAAAGATGTGCAATTATATCATGATAGGTTTTTTTGATCCTGCCAGGCTTGGATCTGAAATTATATTATGATGAGTTTATTGGTCCTGCCAGACAAACGTGAAATTATATCATAATGGGGCATTATGGCCCTGCCAGGCATGTGTGTGGCATGGTGGTGTTTTTGGTCTTGCCAAATTCTTGGATGTAAGAATTGTTGGTTCTGCAAAGTATACATGTGAAATTATATCATCATATTTTTTTTTTCTGTTCTGCCAGGCTTGATTGTGAAACTATTTGAGGATAAAGGTTGGGGTCCAGCCAGGCATGGATGTGAGATTATATTATGATGAGGGGTTTGGTCCGGCCAGGCATTGATATGAGAACATATCATGATGTCATTTTTGGTCCAGCCAGTGATGGATGTGAGATTATATTATGATGAGGGGTTTGGTCCGGCCAGGCATTGATATGAGAACATATCATGATGTCATTTTTGGTCCAGCCAGTGATGGATGTGAAATTATATCATGGTGAGAGTTTTGGTCCGGCCAGGCATAGATGCAAGATTATATCATGATGAGGGTTTTGGTCCGGCCAGGCATTGATGCAAGATTATATCATGATGAGGGTTTTGGTCCGGCCAGGCATAGATGCAAGATTATATCATGATGAGGGTTGGGGTCCGGCCAGGCATAGATGCAAGATTATATCATGATAAGGGCTTTGGTCTGGCCAGGCATGGATGTGAGATTATATCATGATGTAATTTCTGGTCCAGCCAGTGATGGATGTGAGATTATATCATGTTGAGGGTTTTGGTCCGGCCAGGCATTGATGTGAGATCATATCATGATGTAATTTCTGGTCCAGCCAGTGATGGATGTGAGATTATATCATGTTGAGGGTTTTGGTCCGGCCCGGCATGGATGTGAGACTATATCATGATTGAGGGTTTTGGTCTGGCCAGGCATGGATGTGAGATTATATCATGATGAGGGCTTTGGTCTGGCCAGGCATGGATGTGAGATTATATCATGATGAGGGTTTTGGTCCGGCCAGGCATGGATTTGAGATTATATCATGTTGAGGGTTCAGGGAACAGCACACTATAAGTTCCTGCAGTTGGCAGTACATGTAGTGCACTGGTATTTTTCCTATGAAAGGAAAGTGTATTTCGAATTTTTAGGAGAATGTTGGCAACTTAATCAGCTGTTTGAACTTATGCAAATTTACACTAATTAGCTTATTGGTGAAAACTGCATTTGTTTATTGATTACTATATAGGTAGCAAGAATTAATCTTCCTTCAGATACATTTATGCAGAAGGCCCAGAAATCTGAGTTCCCCATTTTTCTGCTGTGGATGTAAGGGAGCTGTCGTGCCACAAATAAGAAAATAGACATACTGACTTAAAGAAGCACTATGAGGTGAGTGATTTCAACTCATCCTTATAGTTAGAACCGACCTATGACAAAGAAGCTGTCACAGGTCGGCTCTATGGAACGGGAGGTGAGCAAAAACATGCCGCCGATCCGCTCACTTCCTGATCGTCTCCCTGTAGCGAGCGGTGACTATCAGTCATCGCTCCCCGCAGGGATTCCCCCCTCCCCTCTCCGATCCTCCAGCGCTGGAGTGGAGGAACAAACCAGGGAGGGGGCCGAGGCCCGGGAGATAGGCAGAGCCAGCTGTTACTCACGCAGCTGGGTGGATCTCGACAGTATTGTCGGGATCCGTCCCGGCTGTGGCGCTCTCAGTATATTGCGGGCAATAGCTCGCTATATACTGAGTTTTGGGTCACGGGAGGAGGTTAGTATATGTGATCCTGTGACCCTAAAGAGAACTATGCGGAAAAACACTTACCCCATAGTTCTCTTTTAACTACCCTATTGGTGACTTTCTTGTAAAATGATTTAAAGAATTCATTGAATATTTCATCTTATACACCTAGCTAAAACTTGCTGACAGGAAATGGTTCTATGACTTGATATAAGTGAGGCATATGATACCCTTTCCAGGCTCTATCTGTTCAAGACCCTGTGCCATTGAGGATTTGATTAAAATTCTGACCTGGACCCACTCAATCTATACTGATCCAAATCGATTTGATATATACAATATATATAAAAGTGCTGACCTCCAATGTAAAAAAACTCAGACCCATAAATAGAGAAATGCAGAGAAAGCCTAAAAAAAAGCTGGCCAGGTGCACTTTACTGCTGAATCAGACAAAATTCGATTCCATGAGAGGCCTTGCCGCCACCACCCGACTGAACAAAAGTAGCTGGAAAAAAAAAAAGACTTCCGTCAAGCCAGATGGTGCCGGCAAGGCCCCCGCAGACCACATTTCAGCCGATTTAGCAGGAAATGGAATTGATCCCTGTATGGCTAACTTCCGGAGTTGGGTGGAAAATTGTCAGCTGAACAGTCACCTTAGAAAATCAGCTGCAGTTACTATTTGTGTATCCTGACAACAATGGGTGCCAGTGTTGTATCGATAGTCCAAACTTATCGAGTTGTGGTACCGCAAGACTTCCGGTTTCCTTAGAACTACGAGGTTTGGGCAAGAAATTTGTTGTGCACGAGCGCCATCCGCGGCATTGCCCTATACACATACACCAAAGCAATAAAGTAATAAAATTAAGTCGGATCACAGTAATCCAGCACGTTATTTATCTCCAGTGCCCCACTCAATATGGCCGCCGCTTGAGTGGGGCAACTCAGATTAATAACGTGCTTGATTACTGTGATCCGACTTAATTTTATTACTTTATTGCTTTGGTGTATGTGTATAGGGCAATGCCGCGGATGGCGCTCGTGCACAACAAATTTCTTGCCCAAACCTCGTAGTTCTAAGGAAACCCGGAAGTAATGCGGTCCCAGAACTCGATAAGTTTGAACTTTCGATCGATCACCGGATATCAGTATACAGTAGACAGCAGGGGGCTAAATGAGAACAATCTTACGGTGTATGGCCAGCTTTAGCTACAAGTCTCATCAAGATATGGAAGTCTTAATTTAGCTGCACCCAACATTTGCTGAGTGTGTACTATAGTCTATTGATGTGGAGTGCTGAATTGTATTCATCTACTAATGGGAGAAGGGGCAACCTATCCACTTACCGGGGCTTTGTGGCAAGGGGGAAAGCTTTGTGCATTCATGCTTGGTGTAAATACTTACCTTTCCACTCCTCTCTTTAAGGAATATTTTGTAAAGAAGAGACACTGAAACCATCTCAAAGAAGGCTGGCTGTTAGGTAAGACCGCTCTCTTTTTTGTAACTATGTATCTTATATTTTTTTATACAGACTTGCAGACTGTACTTCATGCAAATATGTTCATGTATTGTGATTTTGCTGGTCACGTGACCTACCTAGGCATGAGGAGCAATAATGGCAAAGATTTTGAAGGAAATGTAATAAAAGGCAACCCGCCACTCACCAAACATCATCATCAAAAGTTTGAGATCTGCTTGAAATTTTATGTGGGATGCTTCACCAAAGCAGCATTTTCGAGGAGAAGAATCTGAAAAGTGATTTTAATCTAGGGAGCCATAGAAGAACAGAGAGATGATTTGGATATTCCTCACAAAAGAGCTCCCTATGAATTGGTCTTTCTTATTAAAGCTGAGCCAGCTGAACCTATTGTACATACATGTAGCTGTACACAAAGGATATGTATTTCTGTCCATCCAGCCATAAGATGTACACTACTGTGCCAGACAACAGGGAGCCAGGTTGGTGACCTAACTTTTCTGTACTTTAGTCAAGCAATGCAGTTTGGTCACCTCCGTGCCCCTAACTTATGAATGGACAGTTAAAGAGCAGCAGCCTATTAAGCGCATCTTTCTGCCCTCTCCTCCTGTCAGCACGTATGCACTACAACACAGCTGACTGGCTCATAGGGCTTCCTTTCTTTCTCCCAGCCTTAATATAACCCTGCAGGCAATTGCAAGTACCAAGTCAAAATCTGGTTCTCACATTAGTTGCGCTTAATAATGCTTCATACAAGTTATTTTATGCCTAAAAATTACATTTGTTGTTGTTTATTTTTAAAACCAGCAGACCTCTGTTACTTTGTACAGCACACTACATAGAAGGGATGCACCGATACTGTTTTTTTGGCATCGAGTAAGGAAGCCAAGCGGCGTGTAAAGACTCACCACCCGGCTTCCCAATTAGCAGGGAAGCCGCCTGCATCCTCCCTCGTCACCAGGTGACGAGACAGCATGGAGCTGGCTTTCTAGCCAATCAGGAAGCCAGGTGCCGTGTAATGACATGTTGCCTGGTTTCATGATTGGTCAAGAAGCTGGCCTACCAGGAAGCCGGGCAATGCGTCATTACACCAGGTGACGAGGGAGCATGAAGCCGGCTTTCTGGCCAATCAGGAAGCCGGGGGGTAGTGTAATGACTCTCCGCCCGGCTTCCTGATACCGGAAGCTTAAGTATCGGGCTAGGCATCAGAACATTATGGCGAGTACAAGTGCTCACCCAAATACTCGGCATCGGCACCGATACCAATACTAGTATCGGTGCATACATAGTACATATAGTAAGGGAGTGCACTGATATTACCCCATCAGGGTCCAGCTGCTTCTTCATTTTCAGGTTACAGGCTGGGGCGAGTCTTCGGCCAGGCTTTATTACTTGACTGCAGTGTAGTCTGCAGAGAGGTCTAGGACCTCGCTATGCTGTCTAGCAAGGTGTGTGAATCAGAAGACCAACTGAACAGAATTACAAATCCTTTAGCAGGTAATACTTATAAAAAAGAGTCTTAATTGCATAGCAGCAGAGACTTTTTGGGGGCAATTGTATTATAGTCTTAAATATGGTAAATATAAATAATCTATATTTATAGTGTGTAATCCAGTTATTATTCAGGGCTGCTGCAGCGATTCGTCTCTTATCAGACGGCTAAATTCAAGGTTTTAGGCAGACAAAGAAAGCAACTGTGCTGTCTCTTTTGGTAACTCGTAGTTACCAAAAGAGAGGAGGGCTGAGTGGGGGGCTTCCGATAACTGCAATGCTGAGCGGGCAGTGTGCGTATGCAGCATTTGTCTTTTGAGCACACCACAAACCCGCTGAAAATCTTAAGATTTTCGGCTGGTTTTCCAACATGCTCGTAAGACAAAAGACGTGCGACCGTACAGTAGAAACGGTCGCACGCCTTCCATACACCTGCCGATTATCGTACGATTTCCCGCGATTATCGTACGATTTCCCGCGATTATCGTAAGGTCTTCTGCAGAAAATGTGAAAACTGCACTGCCTCATCAAGGCACCTATGTAGTGCGGTCCTAACTCTAACCTATGAGAGTCTCCATCTTGGATCACATGTAGCAAAAACCTCTGTTTTTAACCTTAGCTGTTAGCCAAGTTTTTTTTTGCATGCTGGCTGCTGACTGTGCTGGGAAACTTTTTGCTGTTATTGTTTAAAGCCCTTCCATGTGCACCTTGCTTTAAAGCTGGTGATAAGTTGATGAGTGCGTTTGCCATTTGTTTTGCTTGTGTGTTTGTGGAGACACATACAGCCTGCTAGTACACACAAGGGTGGCTCCATAAGACCCTGCAAGAGGAAGGAACTATCCTAAAACATGATATCTGGACCAGTGCTCAGGGGACCAGCTGATTCTGCAACGAACTTAAACATTAAAGAGCAGCATCCATTGTAAGTGATTTCATCAGCATTGGAAATAGCTTTAAAACCTTTTGAATGTATTCAATAAAGGAAACTGAACTGAGATAAAATATGTGGGTTGTCATTTCTAAAAATGCTAGCTTCCAGGCTGTCTCTGGCTTTTAATCGCTGCTACAGAACAGGCATGCAGAATGCCCGGTAATCCTGATCCGCGCCCTTGTACCAGGTCAATGACTTTGAGCGTATCTGGCAGTAACATGACAGTCAGGCAAGTAGCATTTTCAGAAGGGGAGCTCACCAGCAACAGTCTCTGTATTGATTTAGCTCAGGGCATGTTATTTATTTCTGCACATCCATCCATGAATTCTCCAGTAACTTTGTTCAGTTCCCGGTGTCATTGTCTGCGCTGCCTTGTGTTACCGATCTTGTACTGAGCAGTAACCGAGAAGCAGCTGAGCCTACAGACAAGCGCGTGCTTTGGTCACAGTGCTCGGCCCTAGCTGATTGTGCAGTCTGTACTATGGCTGCTAAAAGCTGCTGGGCGAATTCCTATACGGGTGCCACAAGTTCACTGGCTGAAAATGCGATCCTGAAACAGCTCCATCCAGACGCCGCAGGTTGCTTGTAAACTGACTACCTGCAATATGTTTCTCGGCATGACATAAAGTGAAATCTGGACATGGCCACTGTTTTCTAGGTTGGACTGATATTTACAGTTCTTTGGAGAATAACCCTAAGGTGAACTCTAGAAATGCAATCAGATGCGTTATTGCAGTAACATTCTGAGGAAGTATGATTCAATCAGGTCTCCTAGCAGATACAAATACAACATTTAATTCAGTTATGTATTCATCATTAACAATACGTTTATGTTGAAATATGCTGCAAGTATCTGAATGAGTCTTTATATCAGCTTCCTGTAATCTCATGCTCAACAGCAATGAGAGAGAGAGAGAGCCAACAGTATCAACCAATCAGATTCTGTTACAGCCCATACTACTCTTATTTTAGGCCTATATATCCTATTTAATTTAGTAGCGCTGATCTCACTGCCATAGACGCAACGGCTTATAAATGATTCATTTCATATACAAGAATGATCATAAATAAGAAGTGAATATGTAACAGACTGATTGGCCAACATGATGGAACATCATTCTCAGGAGGGGTAGCTAGCAGTGTGATTGATCGCCTAGAGTGGTGTTCAACAAATGTTGATAAGTGGACAGCGGAATTGCACTGATATCTGTGTTAAGGTGCCCATACATCTTGCAATCATCGGACAAATATTTTCATCCGATGATCGAACTGGCGTGCGATTTTCGTACGGCGGCCCCATCATGCACCGACCATCGCACAGTTCAATTAGCAGTCGTTAGCAAAATCACCTAGCCGAATTTCGTTAAAGGAGAACTATGGGGTCAGGGCACTAACTAGCATCCTCCTGTCAACCCAAAGCTCAGTATACCGTGAGCTACAGCTCGCGGTATACTGAGACGACGCAGCCGGGACAGATCCCGACATTACTGTCAAGATCCACCCAGCTGCGTGATTGACAGCTGGCTCTGCCTATCTAGAGGCAGAGCCAGCTGTACCCGCCCCCTCCCCCGTCCGTTACGCCAGTCAGCACTGGAGGATCGGACAGGGGAGGGGGGGAATCCCTGCAGGGAGCCGTGAGTGACAGTCACGGCTCTCTGCAGGGATAGATCGAGAAGTGACGAGCGACGGTATGTGTTCGCTCACTTCCCGATCTATTGAGCTCTAACTAAGAGGCTGAGTGATTTTCACTAACCTCATAGTTCTCCTTTAATTGACGGCATGGATATTAATTTGCGCATAAGTGGACAGCGGAATTGCACTGACATCTGTGTTAAGGTGCTCATACATCTTGCAATCGTGCGATTTTTGATATACGAGAACTCCTCCAACCTATCGATTTTTGCACTATTCGACAGACGTTTTCTAGCCTGTGGGAAAGTCAAAAGTCGTACGATTGTACATATGTCTGTGAAGGTTCTCATTCATCCAGGTCATGGTATATCTGTAAAAAAATAAGTCAAGGCAACTGGACTTGCTGTAATGTTGCCTTGACTTATTTTTTTTTACAGATGTACGATTGTACAGTATTTGCGGTTGTACAGTGCCCATCAACCTTGCGAATATCGTACGAAAACGCGATCACAAACTAAAATCGGCTGATATTCGTAAGGTGTATGGTCACCTTAAGTCTATTACACTCAACCAGAAAGACGAGCCTTTTTCAGGAATTGTTGCTTTTCTGAGCATTTCTACAGTACATATGATGGCCTATCATATCTTAGTTGATATTGGACAAGGACTTGCTTTTGGCCATTAGTTGGTCAGTAGTAGTGACGCAGAGTTCAGGGGTCAGTATTATTATTATTATACAGGATTTATATAGCGCCAACAGTTTGCGCAGTGCTGTACAATATAAGGAAGACATTACAATCACAATACAAATCAAGACAAGATGGTAAGGAGGGCCCTGCCCCTGAGGGCTTACAATCTAAAAGGTAGTAAGTGGCAGAGGCATCCCAAGGCGGGGTGACACCTGGTGCGGGTACCAGGTGACACCCCCGCCGTGACGTCATCGCACACA